TCGGTCAAGGTCCGAGGACCGAAACGTTTTCCAATTAATTTGCTCTAGTCTATACTCACGTGTAATTGCTATATCTTTACAAAAATTATTGGAGAAAGTAGCATATACTGTTTGGAGAGCAAATATTTGCAGAATAATAAGATGGTCTTTAGATCAGATAAATCCTGTATATCAGATAAATCTACTCTACTGCATTATAGTGAGAAAGAGTTGTGGAACATTGGTAGAACTTAGGGACACCATACTCACCTGTAGGACATAGGTAGAGAGCTGACTAGGCCGGGAGCGGAGTGTTGTGGGTAGCCTACTCCTCCCACAGGGGAGACAGAGGAGGTTTGTGGACCTGCGCAGCTGGTTGACCACTGGCCAAACGGAAAATGCTACCTGTTAAACCATCCATGAAGCCTCTCTGATCATCTTAAGGTACTTTAGATTAGCCAGAATGGTTTGTAAAGCTCTCCTGATCACCCTAAGACTGTTAGCCACCAAGGTTAGCGAGTGCCAGAACTTCCAGAGATCAGACCTCAGCATTCAGACATTTAGGATGAAATTATCATTCACAAATAACCCGCATTTAGGAGAGAAACCCAAACATTGTCATCAGGTTCCTTCCAACGTGCGAGTTACCTGGAAATTGTTCCAGCCTAGGAGTTGTGATTTGCTTATTCTTAATGAAATTACCATACCGGCTGTAAGTCGTGAAGGTGACAGGAGTCTACAGGAGCCTTCTAATTATCACTATTTTGTTTATGTAACACGTTAAATCCGTGTGGGTTGTTCTGGTAAAGGAGTGAGGGAGGATTTTGTCCTTTTTAATAATAATAATATCCTTATTTCTACAAGTATATGTGCAATTTATACAGACCATAGCTGACATCAATGACATACTACTATATAGAAAGCCGCTTGTTATGCAAAGCATTTCGTGGAAATTAGGCAAAATTTGTCCCAGGATATGACCCACACTAGTGGACTAACACACAGGTACCCATTTTATACTGATGGGTGAACATGGACAACAGATGACTTATGGAAACACCTCCTGAGGTTTCCCAGCCGTACCGGGGATTCGAACTCCGGATCTCAGTGAGTGAACTGAGTGTACCAGTGATCGAGCTAATCACTAGTTAGACAGGTTACCTAACTTCAATAGTGCTTTATGATGTTCACTCATTCTTAACGATTCAGGCCGAAGTTAGAATAGGATCCTTGTTGGATGTGAGTAAAACTTGCTTGGAATCGGTTGAAGCCTATCCTTGACTAGTTTAAATAAATATGTGCGTGAGAAGGGCTGGATTTGAGAAGGACTTGCCAATTATGGGCCAGGATGCCTAGTGCAGTGTCCCCTCCATTCTTATGTTCTTATACGATTTTTCTAGGTAATGGAGAAGTAGTTTCGGGGTGTATAATAATTTTGGAATCATCATATATGTAAGACGAGAAGGTTAGTGACGAACACCAGGGTAAATCTAGATCACTCAGAGTCAGTCCAGGACAACTTAGTAAATCTGAGACACAGAATCAACTCAAGATACTATAGGCTGATTCAGAGATCTGTGGAAGGAGTACCGAGCCTCCACCATTCCTTCTGCTAAATGACCCATACTAATTAAACTTTTCAGATACTACTATTACTACCATTATTATTGCTACTACAGATACTGCTTCTTCTACTATTTCTACTACTACTACTACTACTTTTGCTACTACTACTACTACTACTACTACTATTACTACCACTACTACTACTACTACTACTACTACTACTACTACTACTACTACTACTACTACTACTACTACTACCACTACTACTACTACTACTACTACCACTACTACTACTACTACTACTACTACTACTACTACTACTACTATTTCTCCTCCTCCTACTACTACTACTATTTCTCCTACTACTACTACTACCACTACTACTACTACTACTACTACTACTACTACTACTACTACTCCTGCTACTACTACTACTACTCCTGCTACTACTGCCATTACTACTACTACTACTACTACTACTATTTATCCTACTACTATTTCTCCTACTACTATTACTACCACTACTACTACTACTACTACTACTACTACTACTACTACTACTACTACTACTACTACTACTCCTGCTACTACTACTCCTGCTACTACTGCCATTATTACTACTACTACTACTATTTCTCCTCCTCCTACTACTACTACTACTACTACTATTTCTCCTACTACTATTACTACCACTACTACTACTACTGCTACTACTACTACTACTACTACTACTACTACTACTACTACTACTACTACTACTACCACTACTACTGCTACTACTACTACTACTACTACTACTACTACTACTGCTACTACTACTACTACTACTACTACTACTACTACCACTACTACTGCTACTACTACTGCTACTACTACTACTACTACTACTACAAGTAATGACAATAATAAATGAGGAAGAGGAAAACCAGTCATCATTGACAACTACCAATTTACA